CTAAGTTGCTGGCTTTGAACTTGAGATCCTCCTGCCTCAGCCTCCTGAGTGCTGAGATTACAGGTGTGCACCACCACATCTGACTAAGAGGAAGCTTCAGAAAACAAAAAAGAGATGTCCTCGCAAGGTATTTTGAAACAGAGATCATTGGTTATCAAGGCTTGTTGTGGGAGCTCATTGGTGGAGACAACCATTGTAGGATATGAGTCCTTCTGTCAGCGGCTTATCTGTAATACAGTGGTTTTGAGGAAATCCTTCCATTGTTTCATCATAGGCATACATGTACAAGGGCCTGTCCTTTCTGGTCACCTGGTTCCACCTGGTTCCATTTTGTTAGGGGTTGACATTTGTGACTCCATTTTGATGCTGCTAACTTTCACATCATGTAGAACCATCTGTCCACCTAATCCATGGTAAGCCTAATGATCCAACCCAAATTCCTATAAATTCATATAATGATGATGATAACTCATTATTGGAACATTTACATATATACCAGGCATGAATCTACATATGCTTATTAACTCATCAAATCCCCATAACAAATCCTATGAAATGGTTACTATTATTGCCCCCATTTTACAGATGGGGAAAACTGAGGCAAAAAGAGGCTAAGTCTGTCCAGGTGTGATTCTGAGCCAATGTCAGAGGCAGTGTTTGAACCCAGGGAGACAGACTCCAGCGTTCACATTCTTAGCCATCATGCTGTGTCCATGCTCTGCTTAACATGTGGTCTGGAACACATGGAATTGATTCCAGTCCCGAGCATTAAAAACACTGACCCCCTTCCTCTCCAAACACTCTGTTTTTTAGAATCCAACTCTCTGTTCACTTGTACTAATTCTTACAGTGCTTTTGATGTTTTCAAAAAGACCACATTTCACACAGCCTCTGGTCTTAAATTTGCTACTTTGGAGGACAAATGCCAAATGGCATTGCACAGAAAACAATCCCTAAAGGACTGAGGCTCTGCTCTGTCTGTGAGGCCAGCCTCTGAGAACAGCCTTCACCTCCACAACGAGGGTGACCGAAGCTTTTGCCTGGATGGGCAAAGGTTGGAGACAGGGGCCACAGTGATTGGCTTAATGGCAGCAACGGAACTGTGGGGGGAAACAAACCTCATCAGATCATCTTTCCAGATGCTCAGTGAGGTGCCTGGGTCCACCTAGCTGCCCTCCTGGTCTCCACTCTCACCCGGGTTCAGTAATGACCCAGAGTCATAGAAATAAGACCACAGCACTGGACTGCTTTAAACCTCCTGTTACTCGGGGTAGGAGCTAAAGTTGAGGCTGCTGTTGCCCTGACTGGCCCCTCCTGACTTCCTCAGCCTCATCGTCCACCTTTGGGGATCTCCTTTGCCTGTTGGGCCTCAACATCTGACCTCACAGAGCCTCACTGGCTCCTGCCTGCCCCCAGAGTCTTTGCACAGGCCTTTTTCTCCTGCTTTCTCCCCCTGGGAGTTCAGTGTGGGCCAGGGAGCAGCAGGCGGGCATCTTCACAAATGCAAATTTGCAGCCCCACCTCACACTTCTGGAATCCTGACCTCCTGAGTAGGGAGCCCAGCACTCTGGGCCTAACCAGCCTGCAAGGGTTTCTGATGCACGACGTTGAGGGATTCCCAGCCTAGTCTGCTTCTGGTCACCTTACACTGCTCTTCACACTGTCAGGGAGACTCCCAGTCAAATTGCATTCCCAGTGTTCACTCCGGGTCCTTTGTGGCAGAGGGCTTGTTTTCGTTTGCAGTTGTGCCTCAGTTGTGAAATTGTTTGGGTACAGCCCATCTCCCCGTCTGGATCGTAAGCTCCTGGAGGAGCATGTTTGCTTTGCTCAAAATGTGGATTCCTAGAACTCTGTAGGATGTTTGGCATACAGAGGACTTGATGAAAACCAAGCACCATTGCTGACTCTCCTGAGTCTCCGTCTCCTTGTCTATCACACAAGGCTGTCAGTGCTCAAGCAGAGCCTCTCCGGTATCCTGTGGTGGGGTTTGTCACCAGTTGCAGCAGCAACATTACCTTGGGGCATAATTGAGTTCACTATGGGCCAGGCCTTGCCCGAAGTGCTTAGCAGGGGTTGTCAACAGATCTCAATTGAAAGCCCCTTAAAAATCACCAGCTCCTGGAAGCAGGAGGCAATGGCTCCCACTTTCATACTTTCTTAGCTGGCTTGGCCTACTGTAATGGAGGGGATGAAATTAGATATTAACTGCTCATAGTTCTGACATTTATTCCTCATAGTTCTGGAAGCCAAAAGTCCAAGGTCAAGGTGCCCGCAGACTCAGTTCTTGGTGAAAGCCCTCTTCCTGGCTGGCAGATGGCTACCTCCTCACTGTGTCCTCACATGGGGGTGGGATGGCAGGGAGAAGAGACACATCTCTTCCCTTTCTTAGAAAGACACCAATCCTGGTATAGGGGCCCCCCTCTTATGCCATCATCTAAACTTATTTGCTGTCCAAAGAGCCCATGTCCTAATAACATTGCACTGGGGGTTTGGTCTTCAACATATGAGTCTGAGGAGGGGGCTCAGACATTCAGTCCATAACACAACCATCAAGGCTCCTGGGACTGTGCTTTGAATATCTCAAGAGTGTGCCCCAGTGATTCCTGGAACATAGTCTTTCTTTCCCTCCCATCTCTCCAGAACAAAAGCAGTCAAACTTCCTAGAGCTAGAAATCATTCCAAAAGAACTTTAGCCTAGCCACAAAGAGAAAGGGCCATGTCCTGAGGACATCCTCCATTATTGTCCCTGAGGGGGGGCCCCAGGACCAGATGCCTGACTGCAGGGTTGACAGGAGTATGTAACAAAGACAGGAAAGAGGATGGGACTGGGTCAGAGGAATTGAATCCCTGTGAACTTAAAGGATGGGGCAAAGAAGAAAGAAAGGCTGCAGTAATGAGCTCAGGGATCCTGTCACAATAGAGAAGTCCAGCCGGTTGCAGGGGTGCAGGCCTATAATCCCAGAGGTTTCGGAGGCTGAGGCAGGAGGATCCCATGTTCAAAGCCAGCCTCAGCAACTGAGCGAGGTGCTAAGCAACTCAGTGAGACCCTGT